ACATTAGATGACTATGTAATGAAGTAACGGAAAATAGATTAGTGGTAATAAAGATATGAATTGAAATTGGTCAGTTATGAATGATGTAACTTTAAAATCCAGAAAGAGTTGGAATAGTGAATGACGTATTAATTAAATAAAAGGGGTGGTAATGTTACCACGGCAAAGAAAGATTTATTACTGCTCCTTTTTGCATACAATGATCTGGTTTTAGACGTTTGATTGCTATCACTTCGGAAAATTTCAAAGAAATTGAGTTTGATTGTTTGTTAATCACCTTGAAGGACTTCGGTGTATCGACTTCATGTCCTGTGTCAAGGAGATGTCTTGCGATAGCTCTGCTGAATGCTCTCAGTCCGTTTGATCTAAAACCCTTCGGAATATGTTCTTTGAATCGAACATAGACTCTCCTTTCTATTCTACCAATGTGACTGCTTTGGCAGATACATGTAAATTTGTATACAGAGTTGGTGGTGACATGAAAGGGATACCTGTCAAAGAACATGTTTTGGACAGGACAATCAATTTTGCTTCAGGATAAGTTCTTGTCAGTTCAGTTTTTAGTCTCATATTGGTTGATCCTGTAACATCATCACCTTTGAATTGAAGTTGAATAAAAATAGGCTTTTTATTTGCTGTAATTTCTTTGGGTATTTTATCTTCACGTTTTCCATATTTCTCAATAAATTTAAATGGATGTTCTTATTCCTTAAACACTTTTTAGCATGCATAACTTCCTCTTCTACTGTGTCGGCAGTACATATTCTTTCTGTTCTATGAAACAGTGTTTTGACAAGTGCCTTTTTATAATTGATTGGACAAAAGCTGTTGAAATTGAGATAAATACCATTCCATGTGTCTTTCTTATAAACTGAGCGTTGAACTGTATAATCCTTTCTTCGTTTCATCGCGATATCGAGAAAATGGAACTTGTTTTCTTTTTCATACTTCCATAGTGAAGTGGATATTTGGATGAGCTTCGTTGAAAAATTTCAGCAGATTTGTTGCATGTTGTTGATTATAACATACAATGAAGGTATCGTCAAAATACCGCGAATAATACATCATTTCATCAATTGCTCATTTGGGCTTGGTTCTTTTGAAGTTAGCCATTGTAGTGTCAGTCATTATTTTAAGCCCATATATCTTATATTCTAGTTTTCGGACATTCCATTTTATTCATTCTACTTGAGTCATATTTCGACCTTGTCAATTATTCAATTATCAGTCTTGACTGTTTTTATATATGAGCGTATATGTGTGTACACTTCATATCCCATGACTCATCACATGTTTGTAGTTTATTTTTGTCTGACTATAAATATTGAGTAACGCTCGACTAAAATGGAGTTGGCTTCCCAGCCATCTTCCATACGTGTCGTTTTGCTTTGCTGTGCTTCATTCACTTCATGTACGAAATATATGTATTCTCAAGTCAATTCTCGTTATTCGACTTATTTAATTCCGTTATTGGATAATGCGATTTAAGTCGACAATGATATACGAGAATAAGGCGACAGCAAACACTCGTACACTCTGAATGGAGTCAGATCATTGGGCCACCAAACCATGAAAATGTTTGCCAGGACAGGACTTAACGGACTTCTCATTGCTATATCATCGGTTTGCCGGTATATAATATTGTTGAATTGGAACTGAACATCTTTTGTACACATGAGTAATAGTCGTTTGAATTCTGTTGCTGGCAGAAATAAAATGTCAGGATGCTGTCAAATTATGTCTATGCTCTCCAGAAGTGGTATTTTTGTAACAATGATGTCACATCAAAAGAAACCATAAGCAAATCAGCAATATTTATGTGGTTCATGCTCTCAGCAAGTACAAATGAATCCTTTAGTGTATAGGCGGCTAATCGTTGACGAACTGGTTCTAATTTATCTGCCAACCGTCGTGCAACTTTGTGGTATGGTGAATTATTACGGACCGCCTAGTATCTAGAAAGAACAAAATTATAACAAGTTCGACTGTTACTAATCTGAATATAACCAAATCACAGGATATATGGCTTATCCTTTCCTATTATTCATTGTTTATTAATCATGATTTCATGCTCCTAACCCTAGCTTTCAGTCCCCAAATCTCTACAGGTTAAATGTACATTATTCTCCTAAAAGTCATGTTTTTTTTTCTACTGCAAGTAGACAGATAGCTCAATCTTATGGATGCTGATCTACTAAGGCCGATCATTCAAAGCTCAAAATTTGGCCACAAAGTCTTGTGAGTTTCTCAATGTTTTATTTTTCACCCTAAAGTCTTTTTTTTTTCTACAATTTTATACCCTCTCATATCTTTTGATTTACTATTAATCCTTACTTCTTTAAACCATTAGTTATTTTCATAGCAGTGTGATATACTATATGGACATCTAACCCATAAAACAGAATTTTTAAATATCTGATTTGCTTGTAACATGGACTAGTAGAGACAGTGTATTCCAACTATGTGCTTTGATTAAAGCATTAATCATACTTACCACAAACGTAAGAGAGCCTAACATCACAAAAGGAGGGAGGGTGGCGTTACTGACCAGCAAACATGAAGGTGGGGAGATAACTTCAATCCACCCATGTCTGTAGGGCAGAACATTTTGTTTAATTACGGCTCCTTATGGTTTAGTGGGATGTCACGGACTTAAGGTATTGAAGCTGATTTATCACGCAAAATACCTCTTTAAATCGTGTTACGAACGTTGAATTGGTTTCACTTCCTACTCAGAAATCCTATTACAAGCAAACTAGACAATTCGCTAATATACGAAGCCTACTCAAGACCCTATAAAACCTGAAAAAAACATAAAAAAAACGAAAGGGCTCTAATAGCTTCGATAATAAAAGGAAGATAGCCAGTTGTATATCACAATACTGTTTCTAGCACTATATTTTATTTTATAATCACACATAATCTTATACTCTCAGCTCTTTTCCGAATCGCCTCCATTTGTCAGTTGTATGTCCACTCACACCTTGCTAAAGCTTATTTTCTTTAACCTATTAAAATGCTCTTTCTTAACAAATACCTTAATAAAAGAAAATTAGACTGAGTAATCATACCTTAAACATTCCTACATGAATATTGGCTACTCTGCCTCTCGTGTTTTCTTTTACTTGCTCTCTCTTTCAGCCCCCTTGAGATATGGAACAGGTTACTTCATCCTGCACCATCCTTAAAGCCTTGGATATCCCAAAGGGACATAAGGTTGCGATTTCTAGAAGCTCATACCTTCAATGGACCTATTCTTGACCATCAGTCGCACATTCGCAACGCAACTCTCGTGAAGCGCGCCAACTGTAGTACTGATTAAAACAATCTACATTCATGTCTTATAAATTTTCAACCCAGCTATGTAATTTAATACAGTGTATCTTGTATCATTTGTATCAATTTGATCTTGCCTGTAAACTGGCATGCCTCATGTAACAAACTGTTATTTGAGAATAAATTATTATTATTATTATTATTATTAAGACCATTGACAGAATAGGTCAAAGAGGATTATCTTGTTTATGTATTGTCGGTAAACAATAAATGTGGGGCAAACGAGTAAGTAAGTAGGATTATCGATCATCTTTTTTGGTAGATCCCTGAGTACTTTTGTGATACTTTTCTCAGTGGAGTCAGTTAAGTCTTGGTAATTTTTTCTAACTTGAATCTCGTGTGATCACTAAAAATGGACTTCATCTTAGAGACATAATCTGTAGTGTTCATTAGAACAACACTTGAACCTTTATCTGACCGTAATATCATTATATCATCATTTCGCTTAATATTTCGTAATGCTGTTAGGTGGTCTTTGGATAAAAGCTTGGATTTCGGTGTGGGTGAAACGAGGTATTGGTTCGCAATATCGATATGGATTTAAACCAGCCTTTCTTTTCTTCGCTAACTGAGTGCAAATCTTTAATTTGATCAAGTAAATCATTAAGTTGAGTTTCTGTGTCGATTCTATCGGCATGTGTTTTGGGGATCTGAAATTTAAATCCAAGCGGCTTCTGTTTTTATCTGACTTAACTTTACTGTTGATAGATTTTAGAGAGAATTTTCGGGGTTTTCCGGCAAACCAAAGCAAAATCGTTCCTTCGACAGAGTCTTTGACAAAGTTACGTGGAGGTTCTTGCTTATTTTACTTTGCAAACCTTGGATAAAACTGACAAATTTTATGCGACATAGGTTCCTTCCTGAAGGTATTGGTGGTCCACTGCTACTAGACACGGAAGCTCGTTAAGCGAAAACTTCTCATATTCCGTCCACAACCATTTGAACCATTTGAGATCATGTACATTCTTATTCAGTTTACAATTGCACATTCCTTTTCATACAATAACGATATAGATCGAGTAAAATCTAATTCTTACTACTGAAGACTGAAGATTGGAATTATTCCAAACATCTGAGCAACGATGAACTAGTCCTTCCTGAAACAAATACCAGTACTCTTGATATACTCTTAGTGATTTATTATAGGATCTCATCCTACTGATCTAGCAAAACTTTTATTTGCCCTTATTATCATATATCTGGGTCCCTACCTAAAAAAAACATCTTGATCTATTTGTCAAACATGAGGACATTTAAGATTCGTCCTTTGGAGAGTTGCAATTTCAGGTCGCTGCGCTACATGGGCAGAAAGCATGGTCTTGGACGCTCTCTTGTTAAACATATGGGATCAGAACTTTCTGAAAGATCAGTTAGTCTTATAGTCAGTTATATCTATAAACAAGGGGCGTCACGTAGTTCGAACAAACAGTGATCGGGACTGGTCTCGTCTACCTGTTCATTCAGTCACAGAACAAACAGGTTTAGATGAATTCTTTAGTATTGCCAACCTTGCCAATCATGAATTCAAAGCTCGTAAGACTTTTAACCCTCCTCATATCGTTTTTAGAGAAAAAGAACATCAGGTTTCTCACCCCATCCGAAATTATAGGCATACCATCTCCCGCCGACCGCTCTAAAATTTCAGAAGTCCAGAATATGTATAAAGAGTTTCTCAAAATACCCAGAAGTTAAGTGAATGTTTATTTATGTGTGTGTTGAGTGGGGTGTTTGTTTACCACTTTAATTCATGTGAGCTTCTTTAAAATCTACCTAATTGGTTGCTGATAATGTTTTTACTAGTTTCAGGTCTCATAAATTCTATCTCGTTAGATAAAGTTAACTTTGCCAAAGTATTTCTCATTATTGTAGGGGAATAGTGAAAATGAGTTGTTGACTTGAAAAAATTCTGTTTGATTTAGTCTTTAGAGGTTTAACTTTATCGATTTTGCTATTGTATGTTAAGGTAAGTAGACGCAAGAGCCACACATGTTTCTGAATACTAATGATGTGCACACTAATGATGTGCAATTGTTTCATTAGGTGTGTTGCGTTGCAAGGATATTGGAGAATAACTATGTCGGTGAATGAGCTCCCATGATTTGATATGTCACTTACTGGTAAAAAAATTATCCAGCAAATTTATTCTTCATTCATTTAGTAACCTATTAATATTCAGATCGTTTTGCATAGGATTATTTCCAAATAAAAGGGTTCCATCGCTTGATTTTTATTTGCTTCCTACAGACCTAAGTGGAGTCCAGAAATGTCAGTTGATACGTTGGATAGTCTTGAAAAGGAAGAATTCTTGAAATGGAGACGGTCATTGGCTTTGTGAGTTTATCTTATTATAGACCAGGATTTGTCATTTTTTCTTTAGAAATGTGTAGTTTTTTTCCGAAAAACAAGCTTGATAAAAGTTACTTTGTTTTTTATTAACATCAGGTTGGTATATTCCCATCATTGTTGAGTAATAAGGAACGTTATCCTAAGATGTTTTTGGCAACTAAGTTACTGTTGTTTATGATTAATGTTAATGCTTATTTAATTATAAACAGACGCAACTTAGTTTCCGAAAAAACGAGGTATAGAAACTTGGACCGATGCATATATGTACCTGGTCTCACGTGGTAGATGACTGGATAACTCATACTTATTTAAAAACCTGTTCATGGACGTGATGTATGGGATGATTTTGGTACTTTATTATGAACACTTGACCTTTCCCAATTATCTTGAAAAGTTGAACTACCATTTGTATTGTAGGCTTGAAGAAAAAGACGGCATCGTTCTTACTCCTTTTGAGCGGAATTTGGAGTTCTGGCGTCAGCTGTGGCGTGTCGTGGAACGTAGCGACGTTGTTGTTCAGGTGGTCGATGCTCGTCAACCTCTTTTATATTATTCGAGTGATTTAGATAGTTATGTTCATGAAGTTGATTCGAACAAGACATCTGTGGTTCTTGTTAATAAGTCTGACTTTCTCACAAATCAACAAAGGTGAGTTTATCCATTGTGTCTTCTTGGGTCGTATATGCTAAAAGAATTAGCGGTAATTAAAATCTTTTTAGTTCATCTGCATTATCTGAACTTTAAAATTTTGTACACATTTTGGTTCAGTTATTAACAAAGTTCAAGTGAATCTTATTAGTAGTGTGTTTAATATTTACAGAGCAGACGCAAGACAATAAGATAACTTCTAAGCAAAAATAGTGCTTAAATCAAAAATTTTATTTATTATACTTTCCGAACACTTGATGTCTAAATTTTCCTTTCCCTAAATAACAATATTTCTAAGAAAACTATTGGATGAGTTAAGTGTCAGAACTTATAAATGCTAGATAATAAGACTATAAGTTTTAGGGACGTTACACGACAACTGGTGGCATATTCGGTCCCTTTGAAAAACGATGTGTAATTTTACCGATTTACAATGCACAAAACTAATCTAGTTCATTACCTATTCAAAGGTTTTTCCAAATATGGCTTGTCTTGAATTTTTACTATTCCATATTTTTGTATTGTTATTACTTATTTAATGTTATCTCAATCAAATCTACAATTCACATTTAAACCGAATGAGTTGTTGTATATGTCAAGTGTAATGTTATGCTTTCTTTTGTTATCGTAATGATTCTTGATATTTGTAGGAAACATTTAAGTTATTCAATTTGGGTATCACTACAAGCTGGATTGATAAGCTCACTAAGCTTTTGGAATGATTTTCAACTGTTTACTAGTGTATGTGGATACCATTGCTTTAAACATTTGTCTATTGAAGGCGGCATATTGTTATTGCACAAACGCACTACTAAGTTTACAAAAACTTTGCTAATTACTTTACGTAATGACAGTAGTTGCTTTTTTCTGAACTTATAGAATACTACGATCTATGTATCACAAATGTATGAGTGCTAACAATAACATAAGCATTGCTTTAATTTGGAACAACAGACGGTTGTTATTTCGTGTTTACGTATCTTCTTGTACTGTCTTTCTGTAGTGAATAACTGGTTCCTGCTTTGAATGTGTTCATTTAGGATTCCGATGTTTCTCTTTTAATTTTATTACAGAGCTTTATGGGCGGAGTATTTTAGAACTATTGGTATTAACGCCATATTTTGGTCGGCTGTACTAGCCAGTGAACAGATGCTAGGACAAAGTCCTACCAATATGACCCAACCTTGTGATATTTCAACCAAAATAATTAATGGAACCAGTTTGGAGTCCGAGAGTAATTCTGAGGAAAGTCAAACCGAGTCAGACACTGATAGTGAGGCCAGTACAGTAACTATTCATGAAGAAACTAACGAGGAAAGCCCTAAGGTTGTCAGATGCACTACACAGTTGCCGAATAGACTGGATTGTAAAAAAAGTGATCCTTGTGATAGTACAATCAATACAAAAGAAATCAGTGAACCGATTTCCGAGTTCTCCAATTCTGTTAGATGCGATGTTATTGATGCTGAGACATCTGCTCAATCCAAGTACGTTAGCCACTAAGATGTAAAAACGTCTATGTATAATCTATGTTATTATAAGTTATTATAAGGTACATTCTATTTCTTTTATTGATTTTCTCACTTACGACGCATTAGTTCCTTATTGTGTAGTTGAAAATGAAGGCAATTAATTTCACTTATTTCTGAAAATCTGCGTTAAAGTTGTAGAAACGAAAGTGGTACGAAGTTAGAAATATTGATGAATTAAGGTTAATTCAATATGCAATATTTTAAAGTACAAATTGTATGCGATATGTATACATAGATAACTTTTAGTTTATTGTTCAGCCTGTCGTATCGATCCCGAATTTCTCTCAAAGTGGTTCAAAATCAGATCTCGTCATATTCTTCCTGAAACACAGTTATATCCATTGTTCACCGGCATAACTTCCTCCTATTTTGCCTCTTCTCGTGAATCAAATATCTACGTTACTTTCATATTAAACAGTTTCCTGCTTTTGGCACTGATGTAAATAAATAACTGAGCTGTTAGTTTATTAAGTGGACCGACGCATATATGTGTCTGGCTGACTTTATTAAGTGGTCGTATAAATGAGTTGGGACACTATCTTCTGTAGATTTTGTTTAGTCTGGTAAGTTAGGGTATAGTTCAGTCATTTTATGGATCATTGTATATGAATCATGGTCGGTCGTGTTTCCTATCATTTACATTGTTCATTGTCTTTCCTCGCCTTTGTATTACCGTAATATTGTCGAGTCACTTCATTTATAATGTACATCGTCCCTATGCTGTGCGAAACAAATATTTCAAGTAAACTAACCAGTGAACATAATTTTCCATCTTTGTGTTACTTGTGAGTGATAGTTTTAGTCTTCTATCAAATCGAATTATGTGCTATAAATCCATCTGGCAAACTTTAGCATTATAGAAAGTCACGAGAAGACAACAACTATATACCACAAAACTGTTGGTTCATTCTTCTACCAGCTAGATATTCAGTAGGTGTGGTTTTGGAACTGATATGATGCTTATATTCACACAAATAATTTGGCACAGTATTCAGTAGCTTGTCTTACAGAAACTCATAATCCACTAGTCTTAGGCTGGTGTCTGCCTTCAACTCAGGTTACTTCGAACTGTAATCATTTCCCCTTCTCTCACTAGTTATTTACACGTATTTTAGTTCTATTGTCTACACGAAAATTGGAATTCAGTACGCTCCTTTGTAAACCATTTTATAGTTTTATCCAAAGAGTCTAGTTCACAGTGTACATCTAATAAGATATTGTTAAAAACGTCCTGTTTGTAATTTCATCTTTATTTTTTCTACTAAGTAGACAAAATGGTGAGGCGGGAGCTAAGGTTGTTGGAGTTGAGGAGCTAATAAATTTGTTAACTGAAAAATTCAGTCCCTCCAGTCGTCAATCAAAGGATCCTTTGACAGTTGGCTTCATTGGTTACCCAAACGTTGGGAAATCTAGTACACTCAACGCGATACTAGGTCATAAAAAGGTTCCGGTGTCAGTTACACCTGGGAAAACCAAACATTTCCAGGTATATGTTTTATGCTCATTTTTATCCGCGGTGACAGAAAAACTCATTATTTTGATGTTATGAATGAATTAATTTCTTTTCTTGGCTTTTAGACCATTTATGTCCGATCAGACTTGATACTTTGTGATTGCCCGGGATTGGTGATGCCATCTTTTGCTTACTCTAGAGCGGACTTAGTTGTAGCTGGCATATTATCAATCGATGAGATGCGTGATTATTTAGCTCCTGTTGGTTTAGTAAGTAAACTTTCCATGTATCATACCATATTTAAAGAATATGTTTCCACACGGTTCTTATGGTAGCCGTTATAATCTCTTTCTTACGGTTATGACCCAACTATTCCTGTTGCTTAGTATTCTCGGACACCGATTCACTCGACAAGTCCCCAAATCAGAACGCGGTTGAACAGGAAAGAGATTATATTCCAAATAACAAAGTTAGATGGAAGTAAGTAAGTAATCGGGAAAACGTTAGTATATTTATAGTTTTCCATATGAGATTTCTACAGTGTTCACTAAGTATTGGCTAACGCTGATTGGACAAGAATTAGCCAACCAGCGTGCACCGAAACAATCATGCATTGAGCATGCTTTAATCCAGTCTATGTCCCGCTAACAGTACTTTGATAGAATTCGAGAAATGAGTTGCATTTTATTTTGAACTCATTACGTAAATGTTTTGAGAGCCCAATGTTAGTATTCCCTGTAGGAATTCCAAGTAGTTCAGTCCTAGACATCGAAAACGAACAGAAAATAGCCCAATAAAATGGGGCCTGGTAATGTTGTCTTTAGGGATCATGAAATCGAAATAAACCATCTAGCTTAGAGGACTCAACTTCACTAAAAGTGTCCTGTGATACAATTATTATCCGTCACTTGAAGACATTCAAATACTTATAACTTGTAGTATTAAGCTGTTAGCTTGTTGGTTGATCATATAATAATACATACGGTTATTATAACTATCAATAATTCTGTGAAACTAATTCATCTGAGGTGGTCAGGATGTGTCACTTATTATTGGCTTTCACAAATGAGGCTGGTATAGGAGTAGCTGGAGTAGATCAGAATTGATGAGTTAAAGACATCCTGTTTGTCTGTGAAACCTTTAATTAACTGTTTAAGTTGGGTAGGGAAGTATAAATTTTTTACTTATGCCATGCTAGGTTACCGAAACTTGTGGTGGGCGGATTTTTGTAACATAACATAGGTTACAGCAGCGTAAAATTAGCCAATGTTTGTCTCACTAATAACAACGATATACTTTTAATATCCCAATTAGTGGAACATTTAATTTCCTAACGTCTAGTGACTCACTGTAAGCCATTTCTTCGGAAAATATGTATATATTCTTTACCGTAGTCATTTTGTTATTTCAAAACTTTCATATCAGGCTTCACCTTTTTCTCTGATCCTTTAGTTATTTGATATCGTCATTATTTTCACTCCTTTGACCTTTCTCTTGCTGATGTACTCTAAATGTGCTAATATTAAGTATATCGACTCAAACTGTTGCACATTTTTGCCAAATTATGTGCTGTTTTTATGTGAGATTATGATAACTATTATAAAAAAGTAAGTATTGAGAAAATTACTTAAATGTAACTTATTTTGTATCAAAGAATGATGCTCTAGCTTTAAGATGATAAAATGTGTTGCCCTTCTTGAAAATAAATCATTCTTCGATTTTGTTTATAACTGGGTTTCTCATTGAAATTCACATCACCAAGACTGACAAAATCAGTAGCTAAATGCCTTATATAAATTAAATTCATCGAATTTTGAACCGCCTTAACCAAGATAAATTCCGAGCTAATACAATGGTTAGCAAAAGATAAGGATTAAGTAGTGTTATTAAAAGTGATGTGTTCCATCAAAGTGTACATATTTACATACTAGGTTGTAAATCTTGCTTGTCAAATATTTGAAAACATGGTAAACTACAATTGAAAATTGCGTCATAATTTTGTATAACTTTTAGTCATGTGAGCTTTTTACTCATGGGTTTAGTTTTAACGTGTCCACTCCTATATTCTGTTGGTAATACAAATTGAAAACACTTTGTATATGCTACACCAAAGCCTTAATAGATTCCATAGAGAGTATTAGTCTTAGAAATGGGAAGTAATTAGTACTTTGTAAATTTGTTCACTTGTCTCACTATTAGTTTGTTTTAGTATAGACGTACTTTTCTTATGTTAAGTCTTATTTGTCTATTGCTTAAAATGTTCAAGTTAAAACGGGATTTCCTTTTTTCATACTTTGATGCTACTTCCACTAGTATACAGCATAGTTGTCATACTGACTTGAAGTAGTTCAAGTAGAAATCGCTGTAATTATTTAATGTTTGTGTTCAGAAATGTAGTTTATTCAGATAACTTCATCTCTAGATCTTTTTGCATTGCAAGAATTTCACTAACCCCTTTATTAATTAACATGAAACCTTTTTGTGTTTTTCATATTTAAGGTTTGTGAAAGAATTCCACGTCATATTTTAGAAACAATGTATGGAATCAGCCTTCCTAAATTTCAAAATGCACAAGTTAATGATAGTTTAAACCGCATCCTGACACCACATGAATTATTAGCTGCTCACGCATGTTAGTTTCTTTATAAGTTTAATACTTTTCCTCCATAATATTTCATGTGATTCATTTATACTGTCCGTTCATTCAGAAATTAGGTACAAATGTTGATGCAACCAGGCTTAGAGTCAGATTTATCGTATGATGTTTAGACATACTTTACAAACTGAATTGGGTAAACGGGTTAGGAAATTATATTCTTATATTTCTCTCTATATATATCGGAAATATCCTCCCATGTCTATAAAAGTTTATTTGTTGATATCTTTGTTTTTCTTCCAATCCTTTAGTTATGCATGGTTTTATGACAGCTAAAGGGAATCCAAATTATGATCGTTCTGCAAGAATCATTTTAAAAGATTATGTAAAGGTAAGTTGGTCATCCGGATTTCCTACATTTATTTGACTCATTAAAAGGAGAGGATTAAGAAGAGCAACCTATCACACTTCCTTTCTAATGTATTTGTATATGGTGTATATTTTCAATCTTAAATGTTATGAAGATGTTATTAAAGATTTATAGTCGACTTTATCGTTTATTCTGAAACTTCATTTGTATGTATTCTACAGTATATTAATCTATATTTATCTATGAAGAATGAAAACTTGATTTAATTTGGGGCAAATTGACAACCAGGTTTAGGTTCATGAACATTGGATCTTCGGACCATGCATTTTGTATTGAGAACTAGTGGTGTTATCTGTTTGCTTAAATCTAACTATGTGAAAGTGTGTGTAAACCTGAATCTTAGTTCTGAAGGTAAAGTAATTTAACTAATTTGTTTTTATTTTTTTGGTAATGCAAAATAGATTTATGATCGACACAGTCAATAGAGTGAACAAATAATAGTCACGGTAAACAATGATGAGTTATGTGTGATAATTGTAATAATAGTAATAATAATAGTGAGTGAATATCATCTTACGGATAATTGTCTAATCTATATACCTACGATGTAATTAAACTGTATAAATCATTTGTTTTATTTTACTCTTATAAACAGGTCGACTTTTGTACTGTCATCCTCCTCCAAACACAACTGATCCTCTTGATTTTCAATCACTTGGGCGAAATGATAGTTTACCCTGCGGGGTTGGTTATTTTCCTGATCCATCTAAAGCTGAACGGTTTCTTAAACGACTAGATGAAAAACAGAAGCGAGCGTCTAGTCAATGTATTGATGAAGTTATCACTGAATTTGATCGATTGGCGTTTAAACAGGTTTGTTTAGATATGTATGCTAATTGCGTCACGTCAACAGAAAGCTTTATCTGCTCAAGCGTTAATGTTTTGGTATGCTTAATTCCACTTAGATCATAAGAAACACATTTGCTAGCTATCAGTTTAAACTGAAACCTTGTATAGTATTAATACAACATCTATGGAGTGAATCAATCATAACTTTTGTTTATTGGTCGTATGCAGCATCGTATTCTCCTAGTTCCATATAATCCGTACTTGTAATATTTATTGAGGTAACTATTTAAAGTGGTAATGAGCAGGCAGCCGGGGTAATGCTCTTGTAAGTTAGTTAAAAAATTAGCTTAATAACAGAGTAATCAGGAAATGGGATAGAAGCGTCTTTGATAACGGTAAAAATAAAGACTGTTCGCGTGGAAATATTTGGTATTTATAAGCAGAAATTCCGATTTTCAAGAATAAAATCACAAAGTAATATAAACAGTTTCCTGAATGTTTGGCGGAATATGAATATAATAGTATGTTGTGTTCTCGATACAAACCAGTGTTTTTTCAAGGGGTTTACCCCGACCGTAGCTGCTACCTTGACGCGGTGGTCTGGCTTGCCTATCGTGATGACCCAGCCGAGCTATATTGGCTGGAACATATGTTCCTGTAGGTTCTACCATGCCGGGCAGGTCGATTGGAGAACGGTAAGACTAAAAGCAGCAACTTAAGGTCTGAGGGCGAAGTCGTACTGCTGACTGTAGAGGGGTGTGACAGCAGTAAGGTGTTTCCCTCGAACAACCAGCATCTGCAGCGATGCTGCCTTCTCACAAGGAAGGAAGGGGTTAGAAAAGGTCGACCCTAAAAATATCACACCTCATGTTATCTCACGGATTTCCGTCTCCGGCGGTAGTGCCATTTTAAGAACGGAGCTAACACGTCAAAAACCTCCCACAAAAAGGCCGTGCGCGGCCGGCTTCAAGCAGTTGTCCCTTGGGCACTGCGGTCACGCTCCCAGGTCGTTAAGACCAACACTAATCCAATTTCCTTTTCAGGTTCCTCAAGAAATACCCTTCCACGGTGTGGGCAGCCGGGAAGTGATATCAACCCTCATACCCGTAACAGCACACGAGACCAAGTTGGTCACGTTCAAATCCTTCCTACACCTCCTAATACCTCTCTTATCTCCATGATTAACCGTCCTCACGTTTCTTTATCACCTCGCACTGCTAGGGCAAACGATTCGAGTACGCGGAACGTTATTTCTGGTCTCCTGAAACCACGCTCTAAACTACACGTAGGAGCTTTTAACGTCCGAACACTTTGCCAAATAGGACAGCAGGCTTCCTTAACTAAGACTTTAGAATCCCGCGCCATCGATGTGTGATGCGTCTCCGAAACGCCCATACAGGATCCGAGTAGCGTCATTCATTTGACCTCACCATGCCAAAATAAAGAACCGACTCGATTCACACTTCGTGTATCTGGAAGCCCTGATTCTGCTTCTCGTGAACATAACGAAGAGCGGAGTCAGCTTAAACGCACGCTAACAAGAAGCCTACGCAATGATCGTGAACAGTGGTGGGTAGCGTAAGCAAGAGAGATGGAAAAGGCAGCGGCAATAGGTAATAGGAGACAATTGTTCAGACTCGTTAAGGAAACCGGTATTAGGAACCCGACTGTTAGCGAAACAATCTCAGAGAAAGATGGACATATTATACATTCTCAATCCAGGAGATTGGATCGATGAGCAGAACACTTTAGGGATCAGTTCAACTGGCCTTCAGCCACGATCCCCAGTCAACCTGAATGGCAAGTTAATTTAGGTCCTCCGACTCTTTATGAAGTTGAAAAAGCTATAGGAAGTCTGAAGCGAGGGAAAGCAGTAGGTCCTGACAGGTTTACTTCTGAGATTTTTAAGGATGGTGGTCCATTATTAGCAGCGAGATTAACTGAGGTCTTAGGTAGAATCTGGGAACTGGACGTAATCCCGTCTGACTGGTCTCAATCACTGATTGTGCCAGTTTTTAAGAAAGGATAAAAGTCCTCTTGTGATAATCACAGAGGAATCAGTTTGACTAATATAGTGTCTAAAATATTAGCTTCAATAATACTTCGACGCCTAACTAAAGCTCGTGAAGAACAGACTAGAGAAAATCAGGCTGGTTTTCGACCTGGACGTGGTTGTATAGACCAGATATTCACACTACGTCAGGTTCTAGAACACAGACACATTCAGACGCCCCACAATGGTAGTATTTCTCGACCTTAAGGCTGCATTTGACTCTGTTGATCGTGAGGTTCTGTGGCAGTGTTTGTCATTGAAAGGAGTACCAAAAAAGTACATTAACCTTGTAAAGGCTCTCTACTCGAACACAACTGGTCGAGTGAGAGCTTATGGCGAACTGTCATCAGAATTGATTACCTCAAGTGATGTTCGTCAGGGCTGTCCACTCTCTCCATTCTTGTTCAACTTTGTCGTCAACGTACTTTTAGAGATAACACTTTCCTCATCTAAATTTCCAGGGGTTGAACTTCTACCGGGGGATTCACTTGTTGACTTGGAATATGCCGATGACATAGTTCTATTTGGTGAAGACGCTGACAAAATGCAGAGTCTTCTGACCACTCTAAGCAACAATGCAAGCATGTTCGGGATGCGATTCTCCCCTCGAAATGTAAAATGTTGCTTCAGGATTGGGTTGCATCGACACCAGAACTAATGATAGGGAGTGAAGTAGTTGAGCGTGTCGATCGCTTCGCTTATCTTGGAAGTCTCATCAGCCCTTGTGGTCTGGTGTATGACGAGATCTCAGCACGGATACAGAAGGCTCGACTGGCTTTCCCCAACTTGCGTCATTTATGGCGTAGGAGAGATATCTGTCTATCAACCAAAGGACGTGTTTACTGTTCAGCAGTTCGTTCCGTCCTAATTTATGGCAGTGAAACATGGCCAGTAAGAGTAGAGGATATTCGTAGGTTACTAGCATTCGATCTTAGGTGTCTTCGAAACATTGCTCGTATATCCTGGAACCATCGAGTAAGTAATGTAGTTGTTAGGATAGCAAATCCATTGATGAAGTAGTGAAACTTCATCAGTTGAGATGGCTGGGACACGTGTTACGTGTGCCCAACCACCGACTGCCTTGACGTGCGATGTTCAATGGTATAGGAGTAGGTTGGAGGAAAGCTAGGGGCGGCCAGACCAAAACATGGCATAAATCCATGAAGTCACTGACAAGTGGACTGAACCATGTTGGTAGGTGTAGAATACCTGGTTGGGGACCGCGAGATGATAGCAACCGATGGTTAGAGACCCTGAATGACATGGCTACTTATTAAGTATATGCAGGGATCAAAACAGCGGTAATTGCTCTGTGATTTTTAAAAACTTTAAATCAAGTGTACAGAGACAAGTAAACTGGAAAAAAGATTCTTCTTTCATATTGAAAATGGCAATATTTGTTGTCTCTAATGGAAACTGAATCCTTATTCTAAAGTTATTGATTTATACACTAATTGTTATTTTGCTATTTAAATAATATGTTCCTGTACTCTGACATTTTTATCTTCATAAAGGATCAACCTGCACGCGAACTTATTAAATCTCATAAGCAAATACCTATTTTACGTTCTAACATAGAAAAGTCAAAGATCGATGATGAAGTATCATCGAATGCATCTTGGAGTACTGTTGGCTCAGTTGAGACTGTTAGCAATTTATCATGCATTAGTAGTGGGACAACACAATTTATCTTAGAAGATGGTACAGTCAAAAAACCTTGGCGTCTATTAAGTCACGCTAAACGCTTGAATTCAGTACATTCAACAATATTATCAAACCAAACAGAGGCTGTAAAACATGTAACAAAACACAAAAAACGCAAAGAAAAACTCCGTCGAGTTTATCGTTATTTAGATGAACATGAAAGAACATGAAAGAAAACTATTATCCACCTAAATTGCATCCTAAAAAATAAACTATAAATTCTTCTCAGTCCTATGTACATTTGACTATTTTTTATCTAAATACCTGATAAATAAATTTTTTGGATCATCCGAATTTGTTTTTATTTTTAAATTTACTGTATAATTCTTTTAATTTATTTGTTTTTCAGTTGGTCAGTTGTATTTTACCAAGTCATCTTAGCAGAGTATATGTAGTTTTTGTGATGATTTACAATGAAATTTTATAGTCTCTGAACATTTGTTTTGAGTTAGTTCGGAATAAAGTAGTCGTCTAATCCTCCAAGGTTTACAATAGTTTTCTAGCTGATATCCGTTTTTAATGAAACGCTAACATATCTCCACAAATTACCCTTTGTTTTTGGACCTATAGTTCATCAGTATTCGAAAAAAGACGGCTGTTGTATCTAGTTTGATAGGTCAAATGGTGAATAATAAAACGTTTAAAGTTCACTTTTGTACTTTTTTTGAATCATCCCATTGATGTTTAGGACTTCAATTGGTCAATCTCTTGTTGGTATATGTGCATCCTGTGCGGACCCCCCCATATTTCCTTAAATCACAGGCATTATAAGTAGAGATGAATGGTGGCTAAAATTGGAATCGAGGATGCGCTTTTCGTCCTACTTGAGGCTCGTCAACTCGATGTACCTGCATCCCAGAGTCGGTGTGCTCTCGGGGACTTCACCCCACTGCACAAGCTAGTGGCTATCCGGACTCAGTAGCTAAGTCCACAACTCGATGGCGTTTGAAGCGAACGGTACCCGGTTGGAGTTTCGGAGTGAATACCAACGATTTATAAACTTGAGGTATTCACATTAATAGATCAGAGAGTGTTGGTCCCCAAATGCCTGGTACGGCCGAGAGTGGGGAGAGTCAGCTCTTCCTCTCGAAATGCTCTCACATGACCACGTGTATACAACCACTGCCAAGGAAGTCCTACTCACTACCTTCTCGCGGAGGGGGGGGTGTTGTTTACGAAATTAAGAGGACGAAAAGCGAATGTTCGGCGCTTTAACGGGGTTGATGGACACGGAGAGTTCACCTAGGGGAGTTGGGAAACCCTGATTCCAAACCAATAGTGCACATGGACTCCAGTATCCTAAAGGAACAAATGGCGTACGAACCAATTATTGGTCATCGGCTACCATGGGACTGCATCTCCCGACGTTGCTCCACTGCCTTGTGGATCAGACCGTTAGGTCGAAGGCTCCGGGTGTGGCCCCCTAAAAGAACCACCTGCTTCGGTTTTGGCACTCGGGCAGTATCCAGTTCTCACACAATCGAATGGTTTATGTGGTGCATATATATTTGGTGCCTCCTTGTGCCAATACTTATGTGTTTAAATAAATAGCCAATATCATGTCGTGTTACGTAGCCCTTGACGAGATATTTATTCTGATCTGTTATTGGATTATTATTTCTCCTTGACTTTATGTTATCTATATCTACCCTAATCATTAATCTTACAGTTTCGTTTTACGTATTAACTTATTTAAGTTAATATTACATATTATATTATTTTACAAACAATCCGAAATTCATTTTTGTATTGGTTGTTTGGAGCGAACGGTACTGGGTTTGAGTCCCGGAGTAAACTTCATTTCTGAAGTGTAGGTACATCTAGTTGACGTTTTTCAAATAGGACGCAGTGCGCTTCCTGGATTTCACTTTTAGCCGCCCTCCATCTCTGCTTATAATCCTAAATTCAAATGCTATGGTTTTAAATGATGTATTTGTCTTAATCCTGGCCACTGAAATTCTACGTTTGGATAATTAACTGTAGAATCTGAGGAGAATTTGTTGAAAGGAATATTCTTCGTTCATATATCTGTTTTTTTTTCTAAAAACAATTAAGTTATTTGTACATAAACGATGCTGACAATATTTATTGCATGTGATTGTTCTTTTTAAGTTTTTAATTTAAGAAATATGCTACCGATTTGTAACTAAGTAGTGTGTTTATTTCGATTTCTGGAAATTGTAACTGAGCAAACGTGTTAGGTCATCTATCCTTAACTAATCTAAAGCTACTTACGTAGATCTATGAACACACCACTGTTGCGTATCCCAACTTTTAGGATGAAAAAGCTAATGAAGTGAGTGTTGGAGCTTGAAATAAAATCCTCAGTGAAAATTCTACTTTTCATATATAACGCTCGTTTGCTAAATGGAAGGCGAAATGCCCGAAAATTTTTGAAGATTAAAAAATGAGTGCTCTAAGGATTCATGGAAACGTATACTATTTCGACATAGACTTAAAAACTGGGCTTCTGTTTTTTACAGAAGGATGTGGATGAAAATCTCACTACTCACTCTTAGAGCTTAGTTCCATATGTAAAAAATGTGTAGATTTTAACATTTGAACTAATTCATACGCATCATACGAACATGATAAAAGCGAGAGACTCATTAAATGATTGTAATGAAAACACTTCATATACAAATGTGAAAAGATGGATACGAATTTATGGTTTCTTTTCCACCACATCAGTTCTAACTAAACACGTTACTTCCTAATCAACCGACTGAAGTTTTAAGTAGTTTATGTTTGATGATTATTTTTCATAAGAAGGAAATCATAGTGTTACCATAGATCTACTATTTACATGATACATCAATTTTTTAGTGGTTAATAGCAAAGTACTGCTAATTGAAAGACTTCCAGTTTCAATCTAAACAGTAGGATGATATCAGCTTATTTCGATATAATTTATATCTTCTAATTGTTCAACTGTTAAATAGAATAGCATCGAGCTTCCGTCATTGAGGTTTACATTATGAGCTTTTAAGACTGTCACACTCAGTTCTATACATTGTATCAATCCAGTGATCTTTATTTATTTTTGTTTGTATAATTTCAAAATTTTTTTGTAAATGGTGTGAACAAACGATGACTAGGGTGTCCGTCCTATCATATTTTCTCCTTTTTTTAGTACCGATACTTCTAATAATGGATATTTAACAACGAATATACTACTAAAATTCATTAGTCAACCCTTGATCTGTGAACTGTGTTTCAAGAGATTTAAGAAAATATCACAATGTTACATTATTCTTTATAAGACAATTTCATCTGAAGGTAAATTTTCTAAAAGAAGTAAAAATATCTTGGTCAAAGTGCTAGGATTTTTCATCTCATCCTAGGGTTAGTAAATACCTAGGAAGCATAATTCAAGTATGCAGCGCATAGGAGGAGTAGATCTCTTATTTTTGTCATCGTTTTTATACATCATAGGATATGAATAAGGTTTTCCGTTTTCTTTGTTTTAATTTTATTATCTACTTTTCTTGTCTAGATTCACTTATGACTGGACATGCCAAAAAATTCATTTAAAAAAGACTTTGTATTTCCTTATTTTTTAAAAACAGATTAACTTATGCTTTCTAAGAATTTCATATTATCACAAGTAAATTGGTGTCAAATCAGTAAATTATCTTCTGTGAATTCATTTATTTTATTACAATGTCAACGGAATCATTCTATTCAATCATACAATCAGACTAATAATAATAACAATGAGGACAGTAGTGAATTTCTAGAAAAGCTTAATGCTGCTAAAGACAATCCTCCTAGTGGATCAGCTTTATATCAAGATGATGATCATTTTTCTCCAGTTGTTTTTCCTGATCCTATATTCAATTGGGAATCTATCAGAACTAGCGTAAACGCTAGGCGTATGCATGAACGATTCAATATTGATGAAATTGTAGGTTTAATTAGTATTTTATTGTTTATATGTTCTTTAATTTCGATTATTTCTCTTTTCTGATCGGTAGAACTTGATTAGTCTTGTGATCTACAACAAGAATCTGTTTAAACAGAGATGTATGGTGGCTAACAGTGTAATCCAGGATGCGCATTTCATCCTATTTGGGGCTCGTTAGCTGGATGTGTCTGCATTTCAAGATTGACGTTCACTCCGGGACTCGGACCCTTCGCGTTGTAGGCTTAGCTACTGAGTCCAGATGGCCACTAGCTTGTACAATGGGGTGAAGTCCCCGAGTGCACATCGACTCTGGGATGCAGGTACATCTAGTTGGCGAGCCTCAAATAGGACGAAACGTGCATCCTCGATTCCACTTTTAGCCACCATTCATCCCTGCTTATAGTGCTTCTGATCTAAAGATGGTCGTTTCGTCCGAATATGAGACTTCTTGTCCGACTTTTAACTCGACTGCATCAAGATCCAGACGTCACACTCAGGAAAATGACAGATGAGTGTAAGCGGCTACAAAACATCAGACACAACAATGAATTAACTGAACAGGTAAATCCTAATTTAGCTTGCAATAGTGTCAGTGCTATTACTAGGTTAAAAGCTCAGAAGCCAAGAACAACTCGTAACAAACTAACAATTGACTGTTGGTTATGCGGTGATTGCCATTATGTATGATTCTGCCCATTTAGGAAGCATAAATGTCAGGTGTGCAACAGACGTGGATATAAAGAAGGTCATTGTCCACTGAATCGTACGTCCCAGCTCAAGAACAAATATAATTATCCTCGACATGTGATGAAATTAGCGTAATCTAAATCTCATTCTCTGGTAGCAGCCTTCCAAACGAACTATGACATTCGGAGAAAGTATGCTACTATCCGGATTAACGGCATATTAGCTCGTCTTCAAATTGGCACGGCATCCGATATCACCCTAGTGTCTGGAGAAACGTATATCCTGCTTGGGAAACCGCAAACAAAGCCATTTAAGAAAACTGCTAAAAATTCATCAGAAGGAGTGCTAAAATTGATTGGCGAATTACAGTGTGAATTTCCCTACAATGGGACTAACTGCAAAGGAATATGCTATCTGACTGAACGGCCAAACCTTGAACTTCTTCGTCTAAATATGCTAAAAAAACTTGGAATAATGGATATACCAATTAGCGATGTCTACGACGCGTCGTATTCATCATTGGACACCCCGGTACTTGCAGAAAAGGATAGGTGCAAGGTTTCCGTGGCAGTGTAT